AGCATTTAAGGCTGTATTAATATAATTGCTCTTATTAACTATGCTAATAGGCCACAGAGAAGCCATGCATATCTTTAGATAGGCCTATAGAAGTGTTGGCTTTTGTGCTTAACACAGCTTGTTAATTTTATAGCCTTCCAGAACATAATAATCGCTAATGGGTAGTCTGATCATAGTGCATAAGAGAAAAGATTTTATTTTTTTTTCAAAAGCTCTGTTTGAATAGTGTAGCAACAATATTTTCAAACATCTCTGGAAACTAAATTTAGAGAAGAGTGGTTTTTCTAGATAGAGTATTTTAAGTTTTGGGGAAACCTCATCATAGCCACTGGCATTATGAAGTATATGTACAATCATTTTTTGCCCTTAGTGATCCCTATAGTTTTCATGGATTTTGTTTACATTCAACAAAGGGAGTAAGTAAATGTTGAGGTAGATGTTCTGACGTAGCAGGCTCTAGACATACTATGTGAATTTACTTTGATGTTAGGTCAATGTGATAGTGGACTTTTTTTTTTTTTTTTTACTATTTTTATGACCTTGGAAGACTTGCTTTCTTTTTTTTTTCCCCTAGTGTTCATATTTTATTTTATTTATTTATTTTTTCATTTATTTTTATTAGTTGGAGGCTAATTACTTTACAATATTGTGGTGGTTTTTGTCTTACATTGACATGAATTAGCCATGGATTTACATGTATTCCACATCCCGATCACCCCTCCCACCTCCCTCCCCACCCCATCCCTCTGGGTCTTCCCAGTGCACCAGGCCCGAGCACTTGTCTCATGCATCCAGCCTGGGCTAGTGATCTGTTTCACCCTAGATAATATACATGTTTCAATGCTGTTCTCTTGAAACATCCCACCCTCACCTTCTTCCACAGAGTCCAAAAGTCTGTTCTATACATCTGTGTCTCTTTTTCTGTCTTGCATATAGGGTTATCATTACCATCTTTCTAAATTCCATATATATGTGTTAGTATACTGTAATGGTCTTTATCTTTCTGGCTTACTTCACTCTGTATAATGGGCTCCAGTTTCATCCATCTCATTAGAACTGATTCAAATGAATTCTTTTTAATGGCTGAGTAATATTCCATGGTGTATATGTACCACAGCTTCCTCATCCATTCATCTGCTAATGGGCATCTAGGTTGCTTCCATGTCCTGGCTATTATAAACAGTGCTGCGATGAACATTGGGGTGCACGTGTCTCTTTCAGATCTGGTTTCCTCGGTGTGTATGCCCAGAAGTGGGATTGCTGGGTCATTTGGCAGTTCTATTTCCAGTTTTTTAAGAAATCTCCACACTGTTCTCCATAGCGGCTGTACTAGTTTGCATTCCCACCAACAGTGTAAGAGGGTTCGCTTTTCTCCACACCCTCTCCAGCATTTATTGCTTGTAGACTTTTGGATAGCAGCCATTCTGACTGGCGTGTAATGGTACCTCATTGTGGTTTTGATTTGCATTTCTCTGATAATGAGTGATGTTGAGCATCTTTTCATGTGTTTTTTAGCCATCTGTATGTCTTCCTTGGAGAAATGTCTGTTTAGTTCTTTGGCCCATTTTTTGATTGGGTCATTTATTTTTCTGGAGTTGAGCTGGAGGAGTTGCTTGTATATTTTTGAGATTAATCCTTTGTCTCTTGCTTCGTTTGGTATTATTTTCTCCCAATCTGAGGGCTGTCTTTTCACCTTGCTTATAGTTTCCTTTGTTGTGCAAAAGCTTTTAAGTTTCATTAGGTCCCATTTGTTTATTTTTGCTTTTATTTCTAATATTCTGGGAGGTGGGTCATAGAGGATCCTGCTGTGATTTATGTCGGAGAGTGTTTTGCCTATGTTCTCCTCTAGGAGTTTTATAGTTTCTGGTCTTACATTTAGACCTTTAATCCATTTTGAGTTTATTTTTGTGTATGGTGTTAGAAAGTGTTCTAGTTTCATTCTTTTACAGGTGGTTGACCAGTTTTCCCAGCACCACTTGTTAAAGAGGTTGTCTTTTTTCCATTGTATATCCTTGCCTCCTTTGTCGAAGATAAGGTGACCATAGGTTTGTGGATTTATCTCTGGGCTTTCTATTCTGTTCCATTGATCTATATTTCTATCTTTGTGCCAGTACCATACTGTCTTGATGACTGTGGCTTTGTAGTATAGTCTGAAGTCAGGCAGGTTGATTCCTCCAGTTCCATTCTTCTTTCTCAAGATTACTTTGGCTATTCGAGGTTTTTTGTATTTCCATACAAATTGTGAAATTATTTGTTCTAGTTCTGTGAAAAATACCGTTGGTAGCTTAATAGGAATTGCATTGAATCTATAGAATGCTTTGGGTAGTATAGCCATTTTGACAATATTGATTCTTCCAATCCATGAACACGGTATATTTCTCCATCTGTTTGTGTCCTCTTTGATTTCTTTCATCAGTGATTTATAGTTTTCTATGTATAAGTTTTCTGTTTCTTTAGGTAGATATACTCCTAAGTATTTTATTCTTTTTGTTGCAATGGTGAATGGTATTGTTTCCTTAATTTCTCTTTCTGTTTTCTCATTGTTAGTGTATAGGAATGCAAGAGATTTCTGTGTGTTAATTTTATATCCTGCAACTTTACTGTATTCGTTGATTAGCTCTAGTAATTTTCTGGTAGAGTCTTTAGGGTTTTCTATGCAGAGGATCATGTCATCTGCAAACAGCGAGAGTTTCACTTCTTCTCTTCCTATCTGGATTCCTTTTACTTCTTTTTCTGCCCTAATTGCTGTAAGCCTTGCTTTCTTGAAGAAACAAATCTGTGGTCATTCCTCATATTTCTATGGCTTTTATGAATGGGATTGAAATGACAGTGGGCCACTGTGAGGTTCCTTTTGGATATCTCATAACTGGGTAAAGTTACTATGATTATTTTTTCCTATATTAGATATTTGGCTAATATTTTTTAATAAGCAAATGAAAATAAATGTTCTCTTACCTACTTATGGATTTTCCTCTTCAGCCTTATCTTCAAGATCTTACCAATCTAAAGGGAGAGATTTGCCCACATACTTTCTCACCTTGAAAGTGTTCATTTATTCTCTGCTTACAGTATATAGCAGTACCTATTTCATCTTTATTTTATGCATAATTCTACAGATTCATCACTTGTTTTGTATTATATTAACCTCATGCTAAATTTTGCATTTTTACAGTTTATAATGTCTCTTATCCTTTGACACTGCCTCTTTCAGCCTTTGACTATGGCTTTTGCATAGGTTACAGTGTTACCCTTGTACCCAACCAAATGTTTGATGACTTCTTTCTTATTTCTTTGCAAATGCCCTCCATGTTTGTAAAGGACATATATAGTTTCAGTATATTTATAGTATAGTGAAAGAAATTACAGAACTTAAGCTGGAAAGAATTTTTTTTTGAAAGAATTTTTTAAAATTGTCTAGTCTAGCCTTTTTTGCTTACAAGTGGAAATATTGATGCTCAGAGAAATAAGCATGCTTTGCCACAGTCACTATATATATGTGGTTTTCTGATTTACAGTTTGGGGGTGTATTTGTCTCCAACAAAGGTATTTCAGAAACTGGTTGATAGATTGAAGAGGAGTGATTTGGATGGTAGAATTAATTAATGGTTCAAATGTTTGACAGTTTTAGAAAAAACTTAGAGGCAGTGGAAAATTACTGTGAAACATGTTAGTGCAAACGTGGTTGAGAATACTGACAGGGAAAGGGAAGGCATTGTAAAAAGATGGCAATAAGAGAGGTAGGATAACCTGAAACCAGAGTATAAATCCTCTATGTATATATGTATTTGTTCTTCTGGATTCCTTGTAATTGTATCAGTACTAGAGATTTTCCTCTTAGAAAGAAGGTCCTGAGTCCCATTCATGAGCCTAGTAGTATGCTACATGTAAATGATAGGAGTTGGGAAAATGATTTGAATGTCATGATAAGCAAGAGAAAATAAATCTTTTCCTTAAAAACATTGTATGCCACACACTTTCACACAAATGAATTCAAAGATGCAGTCAACCCTTGAACATTCAGAATTTTAATTTTCCTTCTGTTATCTCACTGATCTTATCGCCATCTAGCCACAAAGGAGAGACTGTGGGGTCCATGTTATTCAGAAGCTGTTCTGGTAGAACACAGGTGAGGGAAGAGATAAACTTAGATGCTCAGAGAAAAGATTTGGGTTCCCTGTGGATTTCACTTACCCATGTCCCAGTGTAATCTTATAGGGTAAAATGTATTGTACTCTTTTTGGAGAATTAATCACCAGTAACATAAATTCAGAACCAACATTTCTGTTCACAGAGTAACATGAAAATTGAGGTTGTCCTCTGTTAAGGTAAGTTTTAATGTTGTTGTTTAGGTGTTTGTTTTTTTTTTTAAGTTGGAATGTTTTTCAGAGTTAAGCATTAAAGATACATATTTTTGGTCAGTGTTATTAACTTTATAATCCTTTTTGAACTAAGAATAAATGTGCAGACCTTTTTTATGTTAATTCCATTAAAAAATTCCAGTCCAGTCATTTATATGCTACTGAGGATTGCAGAGTATAAGTACCAGGAAAAAGTAAAATTGCCCATGCCTATTTTGTGAAATATTTAAGTGATATATATGTTGTTTATTTTATTGTTAGGATTTAAATAGAAGTATGGAAAAAATCTAAATCAATATAAATTGTGCCCATTTGATAATGAAGAGATGGAATCTTTGTGTTAGATACTTTTCTGTCCTGGATCATAATTGGGAACCCATAAATGGTATGACTTTCTATATTTAAGACAGTTCTGACTATTGCAAAAATTCTTAATGTGAAAATCACATACACATTTTATTACAAAGGTTTGGAAGATTCCCTTCTGAAAGGTTAATTTGAGAAGAAATTTTAAAGACATAAAGTATCCCCCAAAACACCAGCACACTTCTGGAAGAAATCTAGTTTTGGTAAACCACAGCTGTCGGCACATATTTTATTTTATTCTCATGGGCATTTTCTTTTCATTTACATTTCTTTCAGAGTAAGTGAGGAAAAGGAAGTGACAGAAGAAAGACTCAAAGCTGAGCAGGAATCATTTGAGAAGAAGATCAGGCAGTTGGAAGAACAGAATGAATTGATCATCAAAGAAAGGGAAGATATCCTTTTTGAAAGTCCTCTTTTTTAGCATTCAGAAAGTTTTACTCTTTCATGAAGAAAACGTAAACTCCAGAGAAATAATTGTTCTAATTTATAACCGAGTGTGAATCTGCATGGGCTGCCATTTCGTGGTAATCAGAACGGCACTTGGCAGCATGTGCTGTGGCTCCCTTTGTGCTTGATGCAGCCGCCCAGCTGTTCCCCTGCTGCTATACGGTGGAGCACGCATTTGTCAACTCAGAGGGACAGTCAGGAACCTGGGCATTAACATGTAGTGCTGGAACTTTATTAAATTCTGGTCCACTACTGCAATTGAGCCCAAAACATCTTTGTCTTTGGTACTCTTTCTGGCTAAAGCCTGGACAGTTCTAAGGCATTCTAGTCTAGTATCGTTAAAAAAAAAATCCGTTGTAGGTTATAGATGTTATAATTGATAGATATTTATACTGCAGCATAATACCACCAAACTGTTTTCATGGAAGAGAAACTATTGGGTGTAGAATTAGAGGGGTGTGTGAGTGTAAATATGTATGATTGTGTTATTTGTAAGAAAATAAAGTGAAAACTGAAGTTTTATCTTAAGGATTGTACTTTAAGGGATATATGAGTTGAAATAAGTGTATTGCTGAAATTGTTTTGGCTGGGTACAATTGCTTATCTTTGGGTATTTTTGCACTGGCAGTTGTCAAAAAAGAGAAGTGATTGTCCCTAAAGTTAGGATCCTGGATCTGCCAGGGTATGTGAATTCCTGAAGGAACCATTGTTCTTACTGTCAGTATCATAATTTATGTGATTTTAATAATTATTTTGAAGATACTTTGAGTGTCAAAAATGATCACATATTGACAGTAACTATACTTTTGTGAAAACAAGGCAAAGAGAAGCATAAAGATAAATTAATTCACTGGGTAAAAATGCAACAAAAAGTAACTATTAAAACTGAGATCTGAACTTACATTTTTCAAACAGTGGTAATGTGTGATTGCAGATTAATATAATCAGAATTCTCCAATTTGATTTGTGGAGTAGGACATTTGTTAGTTTTATGGGCCCCCCAGTTCAAAGGAGTACTTTTCCAATTATATTTGTTCTTTGGCACTTGGGTGATTTGCGCCTTCGCTTTTCCTTGCTCTCATTGACTCTATCGCCCGGGTTGTCAACTCTCAGGCAGTCCCCCTTTGGTGATTTTCATCTTGATGCTTTTTTCTCTTAATTGAAACAGCACTGGTTAGTCAGAATTTACAACTGTGCTCAGCCTCTGCAAAAGGAGTAGTGACTCAGGACCCTAGCACATTCAAAAAAAGGTAGACCAGGAGTGCTTTTATGTGTAACGGAAGCTCGCTTTGTAGGTCTGTTACTTTGCACGTAACAGTTCTGAAGATAAGTGGCCACTGGCATTGCTGTAGTGGCTTAAAGTTTTCAGTGATGGGTCTATAGAGTTCTCTTAGTTTCTTCAAATGATTGTGGGATTCCAGGTTGCAAGATGGTTGCTCCAATTTCAGTTATTATGTCTGCATTAAGGCAGAAAAAAAGAGGAAGGAAGCCGTTCTGGTAGTTGTGACTCCCTGTTCATTTTTAGAACACATGCAGTCTTTGTCAGGGCATTTCCTCCCACGCTGCCACCCAGCAGTCTTTCATGAGATATTTGTTGTCCTGAACTTTATCATGTGGGCATGCTAATCTGCAGGGGAGGCTGAGAAAGAGCATTCAGCTTGTCCAATTTATACAGTGGGAGGCAGCAGGGAAGGGGGTTGGAAATGAAGTCAGCCTTCAACTCTGGTAAGCAGAAGTAGGGGAGATTGAAATCACTTTTTGTATATGGAGAAGGTGGTGATACCTTGATCTTCCTGGAAGGAAAAAAAAAGTATTGTGTCCAGTGGAATTGGGCTGAGAAATAAGATGAGAGATGAAAGAGATCACAGACAAGTTAGAAAGCCTGGCTACAGTTAGAATGGGGCCTTGTTTATCTGGTGCTAGCCTAACAAAAAAAAATGTGTGGCTATATGGTAAAGCACAGTTTAACTCTGGTGAATTATTACAATTAGCACTCTCTGGGTCAAGATTAATTGTATGTAATATCGAAGCAGTCTACATTCAGCATGATTATGGACAGAATAATTTCTTCTGTCAGGCTGAATATTAAGATACCCTCAGGTGATTGTAGTGACACAGTATTTCCTTTTTTTCTTAGCATATAGGTCAACCCACTGCCATGGGCCAAATCTGTTAGGTGCCCGCTAAGTGTAGCCACACACATTCATTTATATATCTTCCATGGCTGTGCTTCCAGTGCAGCTGCAAGTGGTGCAGTTGCAATAAAGATCTTGTGGCCTGAAATATTTACTATCTAACCCTTTACAGAAAAGTTTGCTTACTCAGATCTAAATTGTAAGATTAAAAAGTAAAGGAAAATATAGTCAAAGACTTAGACATGAGTCATATTAGACCTATTTTGATAAAAGATTGATAAAGATTGATAAAAGATTGTTGACCTTTTTGATAAAAAGATTTGACTTGAGTATTATTGTTGTGAGTGAAGATTGGAGTAAATGTTAGACCATGTTCAAAAATTAAAATAGTTTAGTTAGTGTAATTGGTTTAAGATTTTTTCGAATCACCTAAAGATAAGTGGTATTTGTGGAACTTGTCAAAGAAAAGAGAAAGGAAGATAAGATTAAAAAACAGTGAGATCCGTGTCTTTTTTCCCAAGTAGATTGCTCAGGTATGAATCTCCTTTACCAGTATAAACCTGTCAAAGGTTAATATAGGTGATTTTACTGTACATAAAACTCTGTACAACTTAGAAACATAAAACAAGGATATAATTTAAAACAATATAATTTTAACTACAGATACATTTACCTATCATACATGAATGATTCAGATTCACATACATGAAATGAGACAATTTCAAATTATTTTAAAGCCTGTTTCTGCATGAGGAACTATATGGATCCTTATTTTTGCCATTTTAATGATGCGTTATCCTAATTTATGGGGTTCTTTTGTTGTAAAAGTCCTAATGATAGGATTTATTGATTAATTATATGAACTCAGACCAGTCCCTTAGTAGAAAAGAGTGATGCTATTTTACATGTTTTCATTTGGATCAAACTTTTGAAGGATTTGTTCTTATGCTAATTAGAGACTTTATTACTAAAACATAAATACTCTTAGTAGTTTTCAGTCTTTGAACAAAGAAAACTTGTTTCCTGAGAAATTAGCTATGTAAATGAATATGCCATTTACAAAGTCTAGCAATCTGATGAACCTAGGAGATTTTTCTCTGACTAAATGTGTATGAATGGGGAGGTAAATCTGAAAGGGACAGAATAATTTGTCCAACAGGAATAATTCTGGAACATGTTAGCATGTAATAGTGTAAGACACAGAGGATGTAGCCATTATAAAAGTTTATTAATATTTGAGCTGATTGTAATTCCAGAATATATGTCTCAAGTCAAGATGGTATCAGAAGCTTACAGAAGAAAAGTAAAGGCTGATGTTTGCTGACTTCCCTCTTTTAACTGACAGAGCAAGGGAAGTGACAGACAAGAAAGCACAATGGGCTTTAGAGTCAAAATTGTTTTAGTACTGATGAGCTGTCTGACCTTGGGAAAGCTACTGAACTTTTCTGACTGTTTTTTCATCTATAATATATGGATAGCTAGTAACGCCTTTTTTTGCAGGCTTGTTGAAATTTGGTAGATTCTTTATGTGTGTAAAGAATCTAGCAGTGTTTCTTGCTTTGGAATACTGAAACAAAGATAACAATTTTCCTTATTACTATGATTAATTTAGATGAAGAGTGAGTTGACTAGCTTCTTTGTTTTTCAACTCTTCCTTTCTTCAGTCGGTTTTTGATGGTTTTCATTAGGTTAAGCAAATGCTTAGGCTGCTTAGAGGCCCGGTCGGAGAGTGACAGGACTTCCCTGTGGCTCATAGAGTAAACAGTCTGCCTGCAATTCAGGAGACCTGGGTTCAGTTCCTGGGTCTGGAAGATCCCCTGGAGAAGGTAACGGCTACCCACTGTAGTATCTTTGCCTGAAGAATTCCACATCCATGGACAGAGGAGCCTTGTGGGCTACAGTCTGTGGGGTCAGAGAGACTCAGACACAACTGAGCGACTAACACTTTTGGTTTTTCAGGAGAGTGAAATCGATGTGCTTTGTCTTCTGTTTCTATGAAGGAGGAATCTTTCTGTCTCATTTATACCAGTTGGGTGCGTATCAAGGACAAATCAGGTTTTACTTTCCTCTCCCAGAAACCAGACTGACAGGAGTGTTTGTTTTCTTTTCTTTCTGATCTGTTCCATTATCTCTCTGACTGAGACTTAGTCAATTGAAGAGGTTTAGAGGTACTTAGAGCTTAGATCCTTGGGCTCACTATATCAGAGGTCATTTTAAAAACCTTGCTCTGGGGAGAAAGAGTTTTAAAGGAACCAACCTTAACCTTTTTGAGGAATGTTTTAGAATGAGCTAAAGATCTTAGTATATCTGTGCTGAAATTAGGCTAGAGAAAACTCACAAGAGTTTCATCTAATTTTATAAAAAGAAATCATTTATTTGAATAGCAGTAATATTTCAGAGGTATTCAAAGCTTTCTATTTAACTATATGCATCTCTGCTACATGAGCCAGACTACCACGATCTGATAGACTTTTGCCAAGAATAACAACCATACGGTAGGAAATTCTATCACAGATCTGGTGCAGTGGTCTTGGGTGGGTAGGATAATAAATGGAAATAAGTTTCATGAAAAAGGAAATGAACTTCAAAAGAAAGGGTTAGTCTTCTTTTTCTAATTAAAATTTCTGGTCCTTCATAAGAAAAGGCAGGAGATTCTCCAGTCTTAGAAGCAGTTTGGGGACAATGGGGAGAATTAAAAATGTAAACTTAGTGAAGATGCCTATAGGCAGAGGAGAGGATATTTTGGTGCCTGGCAATGTGGTTGTGGTATATGAATATAGCAAAGTATGTTGCCGGACACCTTATCATAAGCTTTGATGAATCTTGGTGTTTTGAATAA